GCTAAGGGGCACTAGGCAGGGATTAACCCAGGATGGGGCGCCAACCCACTGCAGGGCTCGCACACTATTTATGCACACATCCAACGCACATTCACACCTACGGACAATGTGTCACCAAGTCACTTCAGCATGTTTTTGGACTATGGGGAAAAACCAGAGTTTCCAGAGGAAATCCCATAATGATAGAGGCAGAACATGCTAATTCCACACACATGGAGCCAGGGAAGAGACTTGAACCCCAATCCCAGAGGTTTTAGGCAACAATGGTAACCCAGGAAGGACATCATATAAAAAATCAAACAAATGATAAACTCAAAATAATTACCCCTTTCTCATCCCACAGTAGCATCTTCTCACGTATGGCTCTTTTATATTACGGATCCTCCAGACGACAAATTTACCTGCAAATCTAAGGTAGCATCATGTGCTTTCAGCAAGTTTTGAAGGGCACAATGCAGGGGGACACCCTGGACAGGACGTTGGCCCGTTTCAGAGCGAAGGAACTCAGAGATCATGGGCAATTTATAGAGCCGAATTGCCTCACTGCACGTCTTTGGTCTGCGGGAGGGAAACTGGAGTATCTAGCATGGCGGAGTGAGAAAGAAGGCGGGGATCCACTAAGCAGCTCTGGGACAAACAAGGGTTTATTGAAATAGACTGGGGGGGGGGGACAGAGGGGTCAAAAACAAACAGGAAACAATAAAGACTAAACTAAAGACCAAGAAACAATCATGACTAAGGAACTAAGCTAACACAAGGAGAAGGACTTGGAGATAACAATCTCCACATCTCCAATCTCCACATCTCCAATCTCCACATCTCCAAACCACTTCTATGCTCGGTTTGACAGGGACAGCAGTCAATCCGTCACCAAGCCGTCGCTGCAGGCAGCTCCATCACTTGCACTGGCGCGGGATCCACACAAGGTGACCCTAAGCCATGTTGACCCAGACGAAGCCACTGGACACGATGGCAGGTCCTGAAACATTGTGCAGGCCAGCTCCACAGCAGGCCTCATCTGTGCAGCTCAGGGAGAAACATTGTGCAGGCCAGCTGACAACAGTGTTCACCGGCCTGTTTAACATCTCCCTGGAACAGACCACTGTCCCCACCTGTGTCAAGTCTACTGCAATCATCCCTGTCACAAAGCATGCAGTGGTTAGATCCCTGAAAGACCATCGCCCAGTGGCCTTGACCTCCATTGTTATGAAGTGCTTTGAGTGAGTAAATCTAACACACATCAAAAGTACGATCCCACCTGCCGTGAACCAATACCACTTTGCTTACAGGGCAAACAGGTCAACTCAGGGCACTGTCTCACTGGCCCTTCACACTGCTCTGGAACATTTCCGGATGCTGTTTGTTGATTATAGCTCTGCTTTAAATAACATCCCCCTCAATAAGCTGACCATTGAATTAAACGACCTTGGCCTCTACACACATCTGTGCAACTGGATTCTTGACTTTCGACTTTCTTACTAGCAGACCACGAACAGTGCGCATGGGTAAGCACTCCTCCTCCTTGAGAAGCAGTAGAAGGCTGCATGCTGAGCCCCCTCCTATACTCCCTCTTCACGTACGACTGCAAAACCATCCACGACTCGAACATCATAATTAAGTTTGCAGAAGACACCGCCATGATAGGTCTGATCTCAAATAGCGACAAGATAGCCTACAGAAAGGAGGTTGAGAACCTGGAGAGCTGAACAGCTTCAACTTCTCCAGATGCACCTCCAGATGTTCATCATCACATACTGCACTCCACTCAGGACAGGAAGGCCCTCCAGCGTATTATCAAAACGGCCCAGAAGATCATTGACTCACACCTTCCATCACTGGAAAAAAACCCACAGAACCCGCTGCGGCCGCAAAGCCATGAACATCTGCAGAGCCCCGACGCACCCTGGCCACAGCACCTCCATTCCTCTGCCGTAGCGCTACAGAGCCCTGTATGCCCGCTGAGAGCAGCTCCTACCCCAGAGCAGCAACATCTATGAACACAGAGCTCCCTCTCTCCCTTATAATGACGTCCAGTCCATTTACTGACCCTGAATTATTTATTGCCCCTCCACCCAGCTACGTCCCCCCCACTGTGATTACTCCGATCTCCCCACACCCCAATACTATAACAATTTATTCTACCCCCCACCCCCCCAGTGAAAATTCTGTGTACGTTGATCCCCTCCAATCAATTCTGTGCCACTTCGATTACATACCGGCATTTATTCTTTATTTTTGTTCTTTATTTGTACTCCTCTTTTTCTCTGTATATTTTATTTATAATATGTCTTACCTAGGAGGCCGTGCAGTAGTGCGGCGGTTAGTGCTGTTGACTGACACCTGTGGGACGTGGATCCAAGTCTTTGCCAGGGTTCTGTGAGTGTGCAGCTGGAAGGTTTCTCTACCGCCAGCCCCTCCCCCATCTCAAAAAACATGCTGAAGTTAATTGATGTACCTAAATTTTGCATGTGTGCCCTGCAATTGGTTGGCACCCCATCATGGGTTGGTCCACCCCCCCCCCCAGGACCCTGGATAGGATAAGTGGCTATGAAAGGTGGCTGTATCTTACCCAAAAGTGGTACAGCTCATATTTTTAATCATTACTTGGCATCTACAGGCTTGTTCCAAGCAACATTATATTGTATTTGTACAGTGACAGCAAAGGAATCTACTTCTTCTTTAGACAGTATTAGGGCTGTACTGTGACTCAGACTTTTTTTCAGGATACAGGGCAGCAAAATCTCATAGACATTTTTTATCTAGGTAGATTTGGAGGATGCTTCCTAGCAGAGAGGTTCCAGGTCCAAGGCCCAAGGAGGGCTGTTCCTTTGGGACAGAGACTCCATCTACAAAGTGATCTTTGGTTATATACAAAAATATACACGTATGAATGAGGTCGTTGAACTTTCCCGGCAGTTAGTCTAGTCTCCATGCTTTTTTGTGGCAAACTAAAATCCCCCATATGTTCTTGTTTACACTTAAAGTGGATCTTCTAACTCTAACCGGTAGCTAGTTGCTTTACCATTGAACTGACGGCGCACAGATGACAACCAAGAGACGACGGCGCCTACATCGACAATGCTGGTTTTCAAGCAAGACGGCACCTAACCCGGCCCGAAGGTGTGAGAATCAGATATCAGAGACAATACATAGTTTGGGCTCTCATGTCTGCCAGCAAGGTGTCGAGACAGCTCACAATTCTGCTGAAGCTACGGGTGACTCATCGGTAGTTCACGTTTGAGAAATGTGTGGGTGCAGTGAAAATGGGTTTGGGGTGGAATACGGCGGTGGGCAACTGCAAGAGATGCACATTCACTAGCCCAGTCTTAGTGCTCCGAGTTCCTAACATGAATCTACAGTGAAAGAGATGGGGCAGAATAAGTATCGTGTCGGGGTGAGAATTCAAAAAAGCAGGAAGTGGTTTCAATGTACTGTACATTAACTTTAACACCAAAACTATTAATAAATGGTGAAACCACGTGACATCGCTCCGTATCATCAAGCTCAATAAACTGCTTCCAAAAGACACGCTGCTTTTATGCATCTGCAAACTTCACCGCATCAAAATGCCTCCAGATGCCTTCTGGTTCAGTGATTGCTCAGAAATCTACCAGCAACGCGACCAATGCTGCAGGTTCAAACTGCGTGCCCCTTCTCAAGACGAACAACGAAATAATATTGTCTTTTTAAATCAACAATTTACAATTGTCTGTATTGCAATTTATATAACGCAGAATCACATAGTTTAATTACAATTATGCATTTTGAATATTTCACTGCTATTCTTGCAGTACCATGAATGAGTGTTTTCTTTCTTGGCATCCAGATTCTGCTGTCATTTCATATGACACAATCACATTCCCACACATTTACGCCAAGCAGGGTGGCCAACAGCCAACGTTATGTACAGTGGGCGTAAATGTGTGTGTGGGCATGTATATGTTACATTGTGGGGACCACATGTCCCCACCAAATGCCCCCACAATGTGATAAACACATGCTGTTTTGACCTTGCGAGGACATTTTTCCAGTGCCCAGAAAGGCAAACTCAACTTTATAAAAATCTGTGACTGTAATAAAAAAAAATTAAAATGCCAAAAATCTTGTGTTTTGTTTTGTTACTTATGGCTAAGGTTAGGGCTGGGTAGGGGTTAAGTTTGTCATAGTTGGGGTTAGGGTTAGGGTTATGTTAGGGTTATGCCCACAGAAATGATTGGAAAGATGTGAATACAAATGTGTGTTTGTGTGTATGCACCTGATGAGGTCTATCTATCTATCTATCTATCTATCTGTCTGTCTGTCTATCTATCTATCCGTCTGTTTTTATATAGAATATACAAGGAAACAATGCATGAGTCATAACAGAATTGAACTAGGGTGATGGGTTTTTTTGGATGAGTCACACAAAAAAAGAAAAAGCAGAAAACACGCTAAACACTGGACTGTCCCGCAACATCCAGTACACCCCGTCACCCACCCATCCCACGCCACCCTCACGGACATTGACCACACACTTACAACCCTCCGCCAGATAGTTGTAGTATATAATCTTCATCGGCGTTATTTTAATCATATAACAGTTCGTGTCTGCGCAGGAGTATTTATCAACAGTGGTGTGACGATTATGTAGTTCATCACTGGCTATCGGCAAATTTACACCTTGTGCAGGAAAGGAGAAGTAACGCATCTGGCTGATTCGCCTGATCGGATCCGTTACATTGGCGACGGTCCTCTTTTAAAGCTGTGCTTCCCACGTTAAAATTTCTGCATGCGCACTGCATAAAAAAGTTATGTAATAAGCAAAGCAGAGTGTCTATGTATTACACGGTGCGACTTGCTTCCTAACACTAAGTTTACGAGGTAGAGTAAGTAGGCCGTGTATTACTGTGTGACTCATTTCCTTGTTTGCGATGTTGTTGCGGGTTTCAACTTGTTTAACGCCTGAATAAAATACTCCGTTCCCTTAACCACCGAACACCCCCTTGTGCCAGAATAAACCACAGATGCGCAGCCCTCCATGTCAAAATACGTGCGCGTTCTTGCATCGTAATACTACAGTAGCCAATCTAACTGAAGTTTTTCATCTTCTGCAGACTTCCCTGCTCAGCACCCGTGCGGGCAAAACCAGCATTCGCGCAGTTCTTCTGTGCACAAACACAGCAATTGGTTCAATTTTACACGTTCAGCATTTTTTGACAACCCGAGGAAAACTTTTAAATACTCAAGACGCACAGTTTCAGCACTTCGGATCGTGACAGCGACTTCAAGTAAAGTAACCGGTATCGCAAACTGCTTTGACCGTCAGGCGACTAAGGAGTAAGTATAGACATGTCCATTACTGAGTAAATCAACAGTATTATAAATTATCCCAGGTACAGCTTACTTTAACGATTTATCATTGTCGTGCAATGCCTCCCTATTTTATGCATGCAGGCAACACGTTGACCTCTTTTAAAGTTTGTGTGTGATGTTTCCGTATAGATGTTACGCATGTTTTAAACTAATAGCAGTATTATATGACTGTCACTGCCACTTCTTGTCATGCATTATCTTTAATAATTTTTAATACATGTATTCGTGATTAAATTACATATCGCTACCAATATAAACTATTATTTTGAGAGAATATTTCAGCGTTTCTTGAAGCTCAATCTAGCAGCGTGCTGGACAATGAATACAAGCAAATGTAGAATTAAAGAAATGTAGAATTAAAGAAATGTAGTGTCTGTAAGACTTTATGACTGAAAATGTAACAAATATAATGTCAACAAAATAGCACAAATACCCAGTCATTTACTGTACTAATGTACTGTGCATAGTAGGATGTTGAACTATTCTTTGACAAGGAAAGGCTCCAGTTCGTGAAGAGCATAGGTGGAATTTTACTTTGTATTCAGTCCTGCACCTTCCCATGAAGGTACAATGATGTTTAGGTCTGATGATTGGGGAGAAAATGGATGAGATTCATAAAACCACTGTTGAATTTATTTGTGAATTTGTATTTGGGGGGCATTATGATCTTGGAATGTGAGAACGCCATGAGCCATAGTGTCCATTTGGTCTTGTAAAATCAGTCATCGGACCTTTTGACATCTGCAAAGTGGGTGACCTAACCAATACATTGCGGACGGAAGACAATCTCCAAATGTATACACAACCAGAAAAAGACTTTTCACATTGCTTAGTGGTTTGGGTTTGTTACTCCATGCATCTGCAGGCTATGTGCCTTTTAGCACTGGCCTTAGATACAACCGGCAGCTGTGTGAGTTTAGCCTCTAATATTTTGGTCACAGAGGGATGCTTCTGTTCTGCGTCCAGATAAGTGTCTTCTTAGCCCTGTCGCTAAACTTGAGCTCACAACCAATGTTTTTTTTTTTTACTGTTCATTTTGATACTTTAAATAATTTTAGTTAACAAAGTGATTTTAGTTAAATAATAGTAGTATTTTTGACAGCTGCACCTGCAATTCACTGACTTTTGTCCCTTTGGAATTTTGGCTTTATCAAAACTCCAAATTATCAGACGTCTTTGACACGTGGTACGTTATCTGACGCATACTGCTAGAATTCGCCTTTTTAGCTGCGTTTATAATAATTTATAGTTGTGTCGAAGTTAAAGTCATTTTAATGTGGTGCTTCCATTCTTGTAACACCTTAAACCGACAAAACTATGATATCAGTTTATCCCCTTTTTTGCTCTTCTTGTACTTCAAACATGCAATCCCTACAGGTGGCTGCCCTTCGCGGACAACTTACTCTACAAAGAGCAAGTTGAGGGAGGCGTAAAAACAATTTCCCCATGGGGATCAATAAAGTATCAATTAATTAATTGTAATATTTGTCTGTCTTTGTAAAAGGATCCCGCATTGGCTAGCTCCGTAATGTGCACGCCAAGGACCAGCGAAGGACAACGTGTGGCCCGGCGTCCATCTTCCTCCCTTCTGCAGAGCAGCGAGGATGAGGAGGTGGGACAGCGGCCGCTTGCGTCCGTTCCCAGGCGCTCCTCGCTGACTCACCGGATGCTGGGCCTGCAGGGCTGCACACGACGCCTCACCCCGAGCGCACGCCGCATGCGGCAAATGACCCCCGAGGAGAAGAAGGATGCATCCTATTGGGACAAGCGACGCAAGAACAACGAGGCGGCCAAGCGATCCCGCGAGAGGCGGCGGCTCAACGATTTCATGCTGGAGGGCCAGCTGCTGGCTCTGAGTGAGGAGAACACCAAGCTTAGGACGGAGATGCTCTGGCTGCAGTATCGCTTCGGTGTGGCCAAGGACAGGCAGCCTGCCCAAGCTTCTTTGCATAACGTTGCACCTGCTGCTTTGAAGTCCAGCCTCTGGGGATTCAGAACTAACCCAGCTTCACTCTTGGGGGACCAGCAAGATCTTGGAGACCTGCTGCATGGCTCCAGGGTCTCCTGGACAGGTGCGTCCACAAGCAGCAGCATGGGCCAGAACTTCCAAAACCCACAAAATCACTCCATGCTCATGGCAGGCTCCTCTGGCCAGCCGTACTACCTGCAACCTCAAAGTCATTCACGCAAGAGGGCTTGTCTCCAGCCATTTGAGAAGACCCCGCAGCATCCCTACAGCGGGACAGATGGGGAAGAACTAGACAGCAGTGCTAGCTATCAGCTGTGCTCCAGCAAGGAAAACCCAGAGGCTCCAGAACCGCGGTCCAGCTCCAAACTCCCTCCTGTGCCGCCCTGTCAGGCCCCACCCTCATTCTCAGCTTCCGCCCATCTGCCCCAGAGCCGGTTTCTGCCCACCCTAAACAACCCCTCACTATGCAGCAGTCTGGTCCTGCCCTGGGGAAACCCGAACCTCCATTTACCCCCCATCTATTACAACCTGCCCCTCTGCCTACCCCTCGAGGGCCGCGAGCTCCTTAATCACAGCCTCGACCCACAGCAGAGCTTCAAGAGCAGGAGTGATGCTTTCTCTGCAGAGTTAGCACACCTGAGAAGGTACTTCCTGTCAGAGAACTGCTAGGGAAACACATGGACCATACAGATGGCCTTAGAGATGGAGCGCAGCAAAGCAGGTCAGCTCTTATTGATCTGCATGTATCAGTGTAGTGATGCTGGCCTTTAGCAAAGACTACAGCATCGGGTTCCCCTCAAGGAATGTGAAACCGCGACTGGACTTCTGTTCTAAACTTCTGTATTGAACTTTCATAGGTTTCGTTAGTGAAGATCTTCATTCATTTCCACTTTATTTTGTTATATTATTCAAGGGTTAGTTGCTTAAATTTCAGTTGTGTGGACAAATAATTCTGTGAAATATTTTTTTTTATTTCCAGTGTGAATTTTTTTTTCTATTTTTAGTAAACCTGTAATCATTGAATGGTGAAATGTTTTTTTTTCTCCAGGTTATAAATATAATATTACATTTTTAAATATAAATATGCTCATTTTACACCGATAAATATTTATGAAAATGAAGAGTTTTTACACAATTAGTCTATGTTCAGTTTTTAAAATCATGAATATATTAAAAGTATAAAAATAGCCTATATGTATACTGTGCACAAACTAAATTGCCAGCATTTCCTTTATGATCATTCTGCCACTTTACAGACATTTCCAGCGTTTTAAAATTCTTATAAATTTTAAAAGGTTCCAGAATGCTTTTCCCTAATAAAAGTTTCAAATTAGCAGGATACCTAGTTTATTAAATCATTCCACTAATGAGAAATTTATTTAAACTAAGTGAGCAATATAAAAATTCGATTTTAGTTAGACTCATTTCAAATATATGAAGTTATGCTACTAAAATTTAAAATAGGTCTATATTATTCAATGTCCAAAATAAATATTTCCAGTTAAACAATTCGTATTATTTTTTTGTAATTCAGAATAGTACAATATACGGCACAACAGAACGTACATCCACGAGATACATTCTTAGAAACTCATGTATAAGAATCACAATCAGAATCTTTTATTCGCCAAGTAGAGAGAAGTATAATGAATTTCGTTCAGTGCTTTCTTTTGGCATATATGTTATGTAAAAGTCTGTTTCGCTTCCAGGTACTTCAGTATACGACCTCGTCCATTTCAAATTTGTCAGTATGATCTGAAGTACCCAAAATATTTGAATCAAAAATATCGATTATGGTTAACCTCCCATGCAAAGAAAGACTTGCGCAATACCATAGTACAGAGATTTGTTGCGTTATTTTTAAAGGAATTTATCACACTTATCACATTAAAACCTGCAGTAAATCAATGTGGCACGTTAAATTTAAATCTTTTATTCTTAATTATTCATTAATTCTTTATTTTTTAATCCTTCCAAATTTACAAACGAAATAGGCATACGGGTACACTGTAAATCCCAGCCAACGAAAAAAACGGTATTTTGTGGTACATCGTTGTTTTTTTTTATTGAAAATGTACAAGCGTTAAATAAAAGTACATTGGAATTTTAGTAAGCGCACGGCGGTTAGAGGTGCATGGCATGGAAAAGGTTAAAATACCGGAAGCGGCTACAGGTCTCATCAGCGCGTGGTTTTCCCCTTTTCCCCGTCGCGTGGATTCCCGCGCAGAAGCGCCCTTCAAAATTTTGCAAAGAATGCAGCCTCACTGTAACGAATGAAAACATGAACAGATTTACCACCCAGGTAGTACGTTTCAACTATATATTCGCGAAGCTAAGTTTTTTCGGTGTGATATGTGTCTGTGTATAACATAAAATCAGCATATAAAATTCCAACCAAATCAATGCATTTGACTTAATTTTCCATATGTGTTTCTTTAACCAAATACGCCAAATTTTAAGCTTTGTTCAGGGCGTGTCATGGACCATGCGCCCTAAATGAGTTATTTTAGCACCCCCCAACACCCAAATAACACATAGCAACAGTTGTGAATCTACCTTGTATGGCACCCAGAGTAAATCCCCTCTTCAGAGACCTCCCCGAAACAAAAATGATGTGTTTATATTTTACTGTCTATAATTTCCACCCCGTCCCTTGAAAATCAAACGTCTCATCATGAGATTTGTTCTGCCTTTGCTGTGCGTATCATTTGAGTGATTTCCACGTCATCTGTCTTACGGATTTTGTAATGTGGCATATTCTGAAGTTGCCTGATGATAACAGAATGAAGAAAAATTCAAAAACTCTCCCTTTTTTAGAGTATTGAACCATTCACTCTCCCTTTTTTAGAGTATTGACCCACTCACTCTCCCTTTTTTAGAGCATTGGCCCATTCACTCTCCCCTTTTTTAGAGTATTGCATAATTAAAGTCTGTATAGGCAGGACTTGGCAGACAGAATATTGATGAAGTAATAAGAGAGGAAAGGTGCATATAATTTAAGGAAATTAAAGCACTGGGTCAAAAAGTACTAATATAAAATTAACAAACAGGATGTTGCATCATGATGCTTAATATGTTTTTTACATTCTGATATTACATCAGCATCCCCATCAAGGTTTTACTATTCTGTGGGCCTATTGTAGTCTAATATGATTTTAACAGGGAGAGACATAGAATATTGTAACAATATTAACTGCTATTAATATATTCTGATTGGTTTCACAATTAGTTCACCGAACAGGGGTATATTTAAGTAGGAGAAATGCATCTGTAACATTTGGTAACACTTTACTTAAGGCTATGATTTTAGTAATTTATAAACACATTTATAACAAATAGTAATGCATTCATAAAGCATTATAAACATGCCTATGAATATTTATCAAAAGGCTTAACACATTATAGCCATGTGTATTATGCATTATGAATGCTCTATGAAGCTATTATAAATAATGCACTATAGTTACCTTTATAGTGTATTAAGTATAAACATTGAGGATGCTTTGTAATGCATCATAAAATGATAACGTTAAATAATGTGCATTATAGATGTTATGCCTTTTTGGTAAATATTTATAGCCATGTTCATAATGCTTTATGAATGCATTATGATGCATTTTGAATGTGTTTATAAATTACTAAAAACATTGCTTTACCTGACATATTCTGAATGACAATGAGTAAACTTCATTCAATGCAAATGAAAATGATAGTAAGCCATCAGCTAATTTGCGGTGTAAAACTGCGTTGCACAATTCTTTCACTAGGCAGCGCAATGAAAGTGAAAAGGTTAGCTGAGAGCTCTGTTGGATCAAAGACCTGCCACGTCGGGAGGTCCTTGAAGACCGCAACTTCATCCTGTTCGAATAATTTACTGAACTGCATACATCTGCCAAAATTAATGACCACGAATTCACAGCAGGGTAATGCAGCCATACAGTTCAACTTAAACCAGGCTGTGTCAGTTCTATAAATGATTTGTAGGGCTTGCTTGAAACTTACAGAGTTTACATTTGAAATACGCACAGGGAGGTGGGGGCCGGGCAGACCCCTTGGGCCCCCTGCTAGCACCTCATATGCCTCTATCACAGTTAACCCATGGAGTTCTTTTTAACCATGCATTGACACCTCTGCTGCATGCAAAGTGTGAATCATCACAACAAACCTAAAGGGAGACTCTTTCCTATGATGTGCGGCGAGCGTACGAGTGCCGGCAAGGAGAGACACATGCGCTCGTCACACACTCACGATGCGTACAGTGCTGCATGGGCCAGATGCAAGGTCAGCCGTGGTTACCAGGCATCGAGAGTGGCATGCCATAGGTGGAGAGGAAGTTGAAGATGAGACAAAGGTGAGAGGAGGTTAGGGTAAGTGGCTGGTGGGAGGTGACCGAGTTGGAAAAGTGACCAGTGGTGGAGAAAGTACACGATTGCATTACTTGGATCAAAGTACTGGTCATCTTCAACTCGCGACCGATGCGACATACGACCGATCGACTTTACGGCTGCTCTGAAACCGCAGATACGTGGCCACCACTGCACCCCGTCTGGCAGGGCGAGTGTATGACATCTTCCGCCCCAGCTGCCGGCGGCGCGAGCATCTCCACCAGACGCCCAGCCGTTCATCTCGCGCTCAGGCTACTATTCGCAGTGGTCACGGTTAAAAGAACAATGAACTAAGAAAACGATGATAAGAAGGTTGAAAACACCAAAGAATATGACTTAAAGATTATACAGTTTTATTATACAGTGTACTATACATATGATAATTTTTGCATAAAGGACCGACTTACAACCAAAATGACTGACGACCGGACAGACAAAACCGATTGCAGTCGTAAGCCAACGACATGCTGTATAGATACTCCTGGTAAAATACTGCTCCAATGCAAGTGAAATTTGTTCAGTCAGTTTTTTATTTGAGTTAAAGTACTAGAGTACTTTATTTTAAAACAACTTAAGTATTCAAAGGTACATTTTCTTTTTAATGTCAATGCATTGTTGTATTGTTGCCACAATACATTTATAGAACCTGAAACAACCTACTGAATGCACTAACTTATGGGACCTGTAGAATTAAAAGTTTGTGGAATGTGATACAAACACTATAGAAACACAATTGAATCGACAAAAGGACAGCTGCTGTCGTTTTCATTTTCTTTTTTAAATTTAACACCCTCCCCTCCTCCACAAAACAGTATAGTAGTATTCTAACATCTTTGCCAGTGTGTGTGTGTGTCTGTGTGTGTGTGTGTCTGTGTGTGTGTGTGTGTGCGAGAGTCTCTGCGAGTGTCTGTGCGTGTGTGTGGATGAGGTTTATATTACGTTGCAATCAGGGGCGGATTAACGCACAGGCTAGATATGGCTTAAGCCTAGGGGCCCCACGTGTGCCAGCCTGCAAGGGGGCCCCCATTGGCACGGAGCGGGGCGGGGTTGGGGGGCCCACAGACTACTGTAGCCTAGGGGCCTCCGTACACCTTAATCCGCCCCTGGTTGCAATGTAATAAAAATCTGATGTTTTAACATTATGGGGACCATTTTTCAGGTCCCCACAAAGATCTGTGAGTGCAATCAAAAAAGGTAAAAATACCAGAAGTCTTGTATTTTTTTTTGGTTACTTATGGTTAAGGGTAGGGCTGGGTAGGGATTAAGTTTGTCATGTATGAATGCAGAGTCCTCACAAAGATATTGATACCTAATGTGTGTGTGTGTTTGTGTGTGGGGGGGGTGGTGGTTAAATATTACATAAAAATCTGTTATTTTGATGTTCGGCGGACATTTTTTTTTAACTTATGGTTAAGGTTAGGGCTGGGTAGGGGTTAAGGTTGTCATTGTTGGGATTAGGGTTTTTCCCACAGAAGTGAATGGATGATCCCCACAAAGATATTAATACAAATGTGTGTGTGTGTGTGCATGCCTGTGTGTGTGTGGATGTGTGTGTGTATGTGTGTGTGTGGATGCGTGTGTGTGTGTGCATGCCTGTGTGTGTGGATGTGTGTGTGTGTGCATGTATGTGTGTGTGTGTGTGCATGCCTGTGTGTGTGTGGATGTGTGTGTGTGTGTGTGGATGTGTGTGTGTGTGCATGTATGTGTGTGTGTGTGTGCATGCCTGTGTGTGTGTGGATGTGTGTATGTGTGTGTGCATTGAAATGAATGAGCGGTCCCCATAAGGATATGTTTACCCTACATGTGCGTGTGTGTGTGTGTGTGTGTGTGTGGATGTGTCACATCCTATCTGCCATATCCACCTGACTCTCCTGTCTCCTCCCTAGTGTGACTCTAACAAGCCACGCCTGTTACTCATTTATCTTACCTTTCATTTCTAACCCTCATGTTAATCACTCCCAGCTGCCTCTCATTAACTCCCTTGTTAGTCCAGTATATACGTGCTTCCTAGTCCTATGTTCCCCAGTCTAGTCATTGTTGTCGTTCTTCTTGTCAGCCCATGTCTGTTCCTGTTCTAGCCCTCTCTTTTTGATCCCTCAGGATCCAGTTTATTTCCAGTCCCTTTTTGTTTAAGTTTAATAAAGCTCCTTTTGTTTCGCCAAACTCCAGCCCACGAGTCCTTGGTCCCTCGCAATGTGACAGCACGCTCATGCACATGCATGCATAAGGCAGACAGCGGAATTGCTGTAGATGCAACTTCCTCAGAAAATTAAAAAAATGAATAAAACAACCAACCCAGTTACACACCTCTAGCTTTATATCTGCCCAGCAGCAACCTGACCGACAGTGCAGGAGGAGTTTAATGTCATTGGTTTTTCTCCTGTGATGAACACAATATGGTCTTTCACACTTTAGAAAAGAATATTCAGCCACTAACTTCAAAGCTATGCTTCAAAATAACGAGGAATGTAAACCTTCATAGAAATGCAGTTCGGTCAAAAGTACAATATTTGTTTTCAAATAAGTCATAAGTAAAACTCATGTTTCCCAAAAATATAATACTCGTGTAATGTACAGATACTCAAAAAATGTACTTAAGTACAGTACTCAAGTAAATGTTCTTTGTTACTCTTCACCCAATATACAAATTTGTTTACCACTTGAATTCATAACCATTTGCACTTGTTTTATTTTAGGTCATTAAAGTCCTGTTCTTCACACATAATAGCATGACACTGTGGTACTGTGACAGTCATTGCTGAAACAGGATACAAGGGCACAGAGCAGAGTGTGCCATTGTGGGGGGGCAGTTTTTTCATTTAAATGCAAAGGTCCATGTATTATTGGGGGGTGAATGAAAACAAATGAAATTCTGAGGGGGTACATGTCCTCCTCACCACACCCATAATAAATGCAGTGTACTGCTCTTCAGTTTTCCTGAGTGTGTAACATAACTTTACATCACAGAAACTACTCACCTTGTTTGGTGCTTTGGCCTTCGGAAGGGATACCGAGGTTCCAGGACCGCAGCAGGTCACGTTCTGTGATTCAGGAAGTAGTTTAAAGTGACATTTGATTATTTAACAGTAAGATTTAAGCAGAAGCATACTGCTCTCATTGCGTTCTGCTTTCTAGGGAACAAAGTTGGTCTTTGTTTTACTGTAGCGTGTCAAAAATAAGTCAGCGCACAGAACTACGTCGCATGTGTAATATTTGCCACCAGGGGGCAACCTGACCCACAAGATGCACAGTATTGTGTCATATTTTAGTTCTGACAGTTGACTCTCCCCCCACATATGAAATACTGCTAAAAAAGGATACCCTCCCCAGTCAAGGCACCAATCAAAATTGTTATACGATGCACTTAATCATTGCAATGCTGTTAAGAGTGAGATGTTAAATGTGACATTTTATGTAATGTTATGAATAGAAAAAGAGAAAGATGGATGGGTGGACAGATGATTGGATGGATGGATGGATGGATGGAATGAGATATAATTGAGCTGACATTATAATACAGGTGTTGCAGACAGTGTTTGAATTCAATTTGAATGCTTATTTGTCCAGATGCTTGTATGTGTCCAGTTACTCTTCAACGTGTCTCTTTGAGTCCATGAGCATCTTCCGGAACAATCTTTCATTGTGCCTTATAAATAAGCGCAATCACAGATAAATATTACTGACCGCTAACAGTGTGTTCCTGTAGCTGCTCATGTTTAAAACTCTGCTGGGCAATTATGGAGAAACAGTTTAAAATGTCCATATAAATCCACTTACATGTGTATTACACTTTTCCCCAAGCCACTTTAATTATTCTTTACTCTTTATTATTGGCTTTCTGCTGTATTCTGCATATCAGAGATAAACTCATAATTGAATGTATGGTTTATCTGAAGATCATGGGGGTAAAAGTGTTATATCTGTAGGTAGGAATAGGACTAAGGATGCAGACACACCGATGTGACAGACTAAAGCAGAACAAAGGAAAAAGGTGGTTAGAGGGAGAAAAAGAGAGAGAAAAAAATCCCTGCCAATGCAACAGGGTGACTTAGACAGGTATCTGTAGATCTGAGAGGCAGAGAGGGGGCTGGATTGACTCAGCCTCCCCCAGTCTGTCTGCAGCCCACAGTAGGGCCCAGCCGCTACCACTGGAGCAGTGAGCCGAGTGCCGCACTGTATAACGCAGGCTGACGGGCAGGCCACAACTTATAACCGGCCCCCCAGGCTGAACTACTACGGCAGGTCAGCCAGAGCAATAGTTGCCACTCGACCTCCTCCACCACGAGACGTCAAAAGGGAGCTAGACCTAGTGACAGGTACGAATGAGAGAGCGTCTTTTTTTTTTGTTGTTTTTTTCTTGTTGTTCTTCAAACCACGAGTGGATTGAGGCCTGCAGTCTACAAGCCACTGAGATATCGCAGGTAAGGTCGGCAGCTGCTTTTTCAATCGATTAGCTTGACGCTAAAATGTTAATGAATACGTGCGTAGCTCACCACGGGCCGCCCGGGGATTTTTGATAGGACCACTAAGCGTCAGCGCTGTACAGTGCGTTACCAGCAAACCCCACCGTTCACAACCATTATCGCGTTTTACGATACGTACTTTTACGAAACGCATGCATTTAAACTGACGTCGAAGACAGGCGCATTAAAATGCGGCATAACTGCGTGTTTTTTGTATTTAACACTTCTGACCAGGATTCATCCTGCAAGTATTAACATCAACAAGCTGCAGTAAATCAAATACGTTATGACTGTCCGTTTTCAGGCGTTTCCGCATTTTGCACTGGTTGATTTCTTTCTGTAGCTCTTGCAGCCTTTTGAGATGGATTTTTGAAAAGTATCAAACAGCTTTGCCCTAATATATCAGTGACACGAAAAGTTCTGCCGGTTTCAGAGCTGAGGACAAGGTGTTAAAGTGTCTTGTTGAGTGACTTGCAGTAACATCTGATCTCTGCAACACAAATTGTTCTCTATTTAACACCTGCTATTTTAAGTCAGTTTTTATCTTTTTTTAATTGCCATAACTAACTACATATAAGCCAATAACAGGCACATCCTTCTGCGTTGGTAACTTTTTAAGCTTTTATTAACTTTTACAAAGCGGCGAATAAATGATCTTATGTGGAGTAAAACAAAAATAAAATAATAAAATATATCATCTCCTACAACAACCTTCTGCAGATTTACCTTTTCATATCAGTTCTATTTCAGGAGAAATTAAAATGTAGAATGTGGCAGCAGAATATGCCAAACAAATATAATTATCATTAATAGCCATGAAAGAGTATAATGGCCTCATCATCACAAAAAAAAAATATATATATATATATATATTTTTTTTTTTATTTAGCGAAGTACATTTACAACTGAACTGCAAAACCATCCACAAGTATCCTTGTGTTAGGATTTATGTGGAAGTACCTGCCTAAAGACGGTGATTACATTTTTCAATTTGTTCAGATTTAAAGAACCAAAACGTTTCTAACAATTCCGCAGTAGGTTATCAAGGCCTAATGTTTAGTCAGTGCCATAGGAAAGCAGAAACACTGCAGTGGGGGATCCCTAATGCATTTGCTGAGTATTTGTGCTGAAATAATGTTATGTAATGCGTCGCTTACCCAAGTCACATTTTTATGGCAGCATTAGAGAGGTCCTTCGGCACACGCTTTTCTTTGTAATATACTGCTTATTATAATACAGGAACTCAGGGCGGGGAGACACACAGCAGCAACAGGCCAGCACAATGTCATGCATGCATATGAGAGTCAATAAAAGAATACCAACGAATATGATTACAATAAATATGATTACAATGCGAAGGCAGTGGTGGGTAGACATCGAGGGAGCGTGTACAATATCATTGGTGAGAGTGATACAGGGCATTTCACAAAAGATCTTAAATGACAAGATGCATTGGGGGGTACCATTAAAGAAAATTCCTTTTGGATGAATAAAGTATCTCTATCTATCTATCTAAGAGGAAAATCAGGATATTTGTCGGGACAATTCCAAGGGCCTCTATGTGACAGGGACCCTACAAAATCTGGCACATAATGAGATTAGTCTGGGTTGGGGCCCAAAATCTCTAGTGGCAACGCTGGATGCAGTGCATGGATTGAAAGATTAAGATTTCATTTTAAATGAGTATTGCCAAAGCACAACTATGACATGAAAATACAAAATTGGGTGCATAGTTAGCATAATGTGAAGTTACAACCTAGAAAAGAAACCTGTAACAAAGAAACATTCTTTTTTAATATCGCATTGAATTTCATCAGGAGTAAAATAAAGAAAATACTTGACATTATCAGATTAAAAATAAAAACAGATATACTTTAGAACTATTTATTACTTTTGACGAATGACTGAAGGTTAACTTAGATGCTTCTCGTGAAAACAATGTAAAATAAAGTCTGCTATTATTCTAAAGGATAAAAAGAATTCATATTTATCTAATTTATTGTATGAAACCCCAGGCAACAAGTTCATTCTTATATAGTTGCTGAAAATTGAAGACACTAAACAATTTTTATTAAAAAACAAGAAGTAACGAGGGGAAGGACAAAATATATGTATTCATAAAAGTTCGATGTACGTATCAGTAGAATTTTGGTTAACGTCTTGCTTTTGCAAAGCTCATTCATGAGCGTTGACGCTCAATATAACAAATTCACTTGGCTTATACTGTAAATGTGAGATCGCTGATTTTCCATTTGGCATTCGGAGCAAGCAATAGGATTGAAGATATGCACACTTTCTGTATTCCACAAAAATATGTTTGCGGGTTACAGTGTTTCATGCTCATAATTTCAGTTAATGTTTATTATATTTAGTATTGAGCTAATGTTAGTATTCAGTATTTCGGTTAATGTTTTAATATTTAGTATTGAGTTTAATGACGTGAAAATATAATCCAGGAACAGTCTAGAGGAGCTGGATGCTAGATCTTGTGTACATGTTCTCTTCAAGATAAGGGCACTTATTTGGAAAAAAAAAAGTTTGAAAAGTTGAAAAAACCGAGTCATGTAAATGTCTTCATCCAACCCTTCACCACTTTATGCAAGTTTATCTAATTAGCTCAGCCTTGTGCAGGGTTGTGCCCTAGAGTCGCACAGTCACAACAAGATGTGTGGCAACCACATAATAGGTGGCATGGTCTGGAGGTGTGATTGTGTAACGACATCTTGGGAAGGGCATGGAGATGTGTGACATTACCGCAGAAGTGTTTTACAAGGTATCCTGAAAATGTCTCTGCAGGACACGGATCAGTGAGTCGGTTGTCTTTGGCATCCCCCTGACCTCAAAGAACTATAGCATCGAACTTTATATTGCCGATGGTGTTATTTTTTCATTATTTTCATAAAGGGGTCAACCTGTCTGTACATGGACAGGTGAGTCCAGACCCGTCTGTGTTCATAGCAAAATGTTTTGATGGAGAAAGAAACGATGCGAGCTAAGTGTTTAAGTACCATGTATGGTGCAAAAACCCCATTTTGGTCAAAATGTCCATCAGAATTCGCTGTGGCGATGATCCCAGTTCATGTGTGGTCTTTGGCATCCTCTATCAGGAAATACAGCAGATAATGAAAACTACAAAGTTGAAAAATATCAGTTAACCGAACTCCTGGCCACACACACACACACACACACACACACACACACACACATCCTTCACTCTCTGAAGAGCAGCTCAGAAAACACACACATACGCAAAAGCATAAAGAGGGATCCATCCATCCATCTCCTGTTGGCCCTAGTCAGCATCAGCGGAGGTTCTGGAACCTGTCCCAGACAGGGCTAAACCTCAGATGGGATGCCCATCCATCAAAGTGCAACAAACACACATATACATGCAATGACTCACGCGCATACATGCCTACTGAAACATACGCCCCCATACAGAGACATGTGAAGACAGATGCTGACTGATGAACATTTAACAGAAAGGAAAAATTCACTAATGTGATCTTTAGAGAGGAATCGCTGACATGTACATTGTTCCAGACAATTCTGAAGTGGGGAATTCCAATTCCCTGCCCTCGTAACATCATTCTCACAAACACCCATATGAATATTAACGTGGCAGTTATGTTGCCAAACACCCAGTACACCTACACACCTAGTTGATCGTTTAATAGCATAATAACACTTTAATGAACTTTTGTCACACATATACTGACTTTTCAATAATAACACATATCATAGATACTTCTTCGGCTCTTTCCATGAATAAATTCACTTTTATTTATTTTATTAGTGCTTTTGTCTATAGTTATATAATCATAAAGCGTAAATCTTGAGCACCAGCACGGAATTTATAGGCGACTCTTGGTTGTGGCACCAACCCACGGGACCCGTGTTATTTCTGCTAAAACCGCCCTGTTTTAAGACGGTAAACGGCGAAGCCTTCGTGCCCGCGTGAGTGTTCGTGTGTGTCGCCTCCGTCAAGGGTGCCACGTGAGAAACGGAAACTGAAAAACAGGTGCCGGGGACAAAACAAATAGGTAACAGAATGAAACATTTGAAAGCTTTTGCTAAAAAGCAACCTAAAATTAGCACGTCAATAAGCAGCAGGTGGCAAGGAGGCCTGGGGGAGTCGGGGCACTGCCTGAGAGCGGCGTGCCTCAAAAGTGGCAGGCCTCCACAGTATGCGGAGGGCAAAGCCCTGGGGGGCCGAACCGCAGAAGGCGGTGGGGGCAGGAGAGGCCCCTGCCCATCGTGACACAGTCAGCTACCAGTCCAGCAGGGGATACACACACACACACACACACACACACACACTGTCAGTTACAAATGCACGTGCATTTGGAAGAAATTTAGCAAAAGTCATTATAAGGCTTAGTATTAATGAGTTTGAAAGGAGCGCATTTATAAATATCATGATAAAGGAATAATTACAAAGAGAACAATGACTTATTTTGGACGTCTACATTTAATGGCTCAGTTACATTTTGGTTGTGTTTTGTTATTGTTTTCTTTCAGCATTTAGGTTGTTAGCATTGTTCCATTCGTCGTATACATCTCTTACTCTTGTGTATGTGCAGCCGTGCTCATATCCGGCTACATATTTGCATACATTTGCCATTCATCCAATTTTCCTTCCTTTTTTTCAGAAATTCTTGTCGTCACGTTGCGCTTCTGTATATATTTTTGCAATGGAAATCAATAGTTCCCACACCAAAAATAATTACTTGGTAATTAGACCCTTTCCCCATGGGCACCTTTAGTATAGTCTGCCACTATTCAGATGTAATGTTTAAACAGAAGGTACAATTAGGCATTCATTAGTGCCAACTGTTTTGTGTTGGTAGAGTTACAATTTTTAAATTCATTCAATTTTAAAACGTAACTGAACGATAAATCAAGTACACCTGTTCGCAATGCACCTAAATTTTAGTGGAGAAATTCCTAATAAGAAA